ACAGGCCGTATACCGTGCTCGACAACAACCGGAACGTCTCGCTTCAGTAGCCTTTGCAGCAGTAGGCTCAGGAAGGGTGGGTTTTATAGGATGTGGAGGTGACGAAGTGGACAGACTGGTCTTGGCTATGTGTGGATTAGACCGTCCCACAGATGCTCCTGGGAACTCTTTCAAGAGTCACCACGGAGACCATTGACTTTACAGTTGTACTCACCATCCTTCTACGTCGGTTTCTGGATTCGAATGAAGATACGTAGATTACATATTCAAGAGTTACCCAAGCCCTCGGCAAACTGTTGACAGCTGGCGCAAAACCCGAAGGTTCTAGCAGCGTTATACTCCCAACACTGCTGCGCATAGTCTGGCGTGGTCGTCCCACAGCCATCACCTAACAGAACACAGTCGTACCCATTGCTAAATGCATCAGTCAGGGTTCCACCCACGCACTGGTCGGTATTCACTCCTGTGAAGAACAACGTCCTAATACCCTCTTTATCCAGAAACTCTTTGAGGGGTGTCGTGGCACCCCACATCCCGCTCATCCTGTTCTTATGGATCCAGACGTCAGGCCTACTCTCCAACTTGCTGCCTTCGACATACATGGCATCAAGTGGAGGGTAGAGCGCTGCGTTCCAAGAATCGCGCATGAGTAATTTACCCCCCGCTACGGTTTTCCCGTCTGGAAACTTGAGCATCCCGCAGTCAGCACCGATACCACGGTAGAAAGACAGGTTTTCTTTGCCATGTCGATCCATGCTCACGCTTCCTTCCTGGTGTCCAAAAGCGTCGTCGGATTTAAAATCGGCATCTTCCGGAATGGAGAAGAAGCCAAATGCGCGTTTCACAGCTGGCGGCATCTCTTTGGCTTCTTCCTCCGTAAGCCCCCAATTTACCCATACGACCCTGATGCCAGCTTTTCGTGCAGCTGGGATAGCGTACTTGACCAACTGTTCGCAGGCAATGTGACCAGGACCTTTTTGGCCGCGGCCGAAAGCTTCGGAGAGAAAGAAGTTTTGCATGTCAATGATGACAAGGGCGGATTTCGAAGGATCGATTGTGATGGCATCAGCTCGTGTCTGGATGGTGTGTGTGGGCCCGGTAGTTGGTGACGAGTGCGTAGAGGGATGGGTGAGGTCAAAGCCATTCTTGGTAGAGTGCGACCAGAAGTTTGAAGGTGAGCCTATCAAGGCTTTTCGATGACTGTTGAGAGGGATAGTAGACGACATGACTGTGAGAACAGATGTTATGCTAGATTGAAGTGATCGAAGATCGATTTTTGATGGTAGATTTTGCTTAATGTCTTCGTGAAGATGCAGAATGGTATGTGTTAAGTAGATAGATGATCATACTGGCGATGAATTTAAGTCTTCAAGCAGTCATCGGATGCTGTGGCCACTATCAGAGTGCCAGATAAGGAAGGCCAGTAGCTCACCTGCCGAGGTGGGGTAGGCCGGGGTAGATCCGGAGATAGTCGTTTTGTCGAGGATATGACCAAGATGTCTTTCAACACACATAAGTATGTCTAATGCGTAGTACGAGATCGATCTGGGGTGGAGATCGTTTGCGCAGAATCATCGAACAGTTGCGTAATTGTCTGATAGACACTTCAGATGAAAGTTGCTTCTGAAACGACACCAGGCTGTGCGTCTGAGCGCGGCGAACACGCATGATACACTGAAAGAGAATGGAGTATACAGGACATGGTCTCCTACTGGTTGTATTGGCTGTTACCGGGTTCCCGCAAGCCGCAACCTCGCAACTTGCACAAGCTGTGGTGCCTCTTCTTTGTAAAGGGCCGCGCTGTCAGAGTCGACTATCAGACGCAAATAGTCCCTGTATTCTTCTTCATGACCAATAGACTTGTAATACTCCGCAAGTTGTAACATGGAAGGTTTGTGTCCAACGACAGACGCCACATGTAACCACTCTCGCGCAAGCTTCGCGGCGCTTCCGCGTCTCCAGGTCAGTAACCAGTTGAGCGCATGTCGTATGCTACCGTTTTCTAAAACAGACGAGTTCGATGCTGCCACTTCTTGATAGAAGCCAGTGAGGTCCAGTATGGCTTGTCTGTGACCGGATGCTGCTGCTTTGCTCGTATACCGCAACCACTTTTCGCTTGTTTTCGGCTCATAGGCTGCGAGTTCGTAGTATGAAAGCGGATCATCACCTTCGAGAGCGCCTTTCTGGAAATATGACTGAGCTTCTGCCTGTACTTTCGGATCTTTGTCTGCTTTGAGTAGATAACCGAGCGCATTCCAGGGTGCTATAAGGGGAAATTGCATCGCATGCGTTAATGGCCTTCCAGTTTGATCATTAAGAGTTGAAGGCTTGATGGCTTCTTGATATGCTTTTATGGCCTCTTGCTTCTGTCCTGCTTGCTCAAGGAAGAGTCCTCTTAGAGTCAAAACTTCAACTACTAGAGTTGGAGTCTTTTCCAAGGTCTGCAAGTCAATCGTGTCGAGCAGCTGGCGGTATTGGGCGATATCTTTCTGTGGAAAGAGCCTTGCAATCTCTTGAGCGGGCTGGTTGCCCAAATTGCCAAGGTAGACGACAGTCAGGATGTGTACGATCGCGAGAGGATCCCCTGCGTGCGCACATCCTTGCAGAAGCATACCAGCGACTTCTTTGTGCTGACTAGGAGGCAGTCGAGCTCTTATCTCTGGATTGCTGAGATCGGGCACTTTGAATGTGGCCATCGCAAGAGATGTAATATCAATTAATCGGACGTTGTATTCTGCTCATGTCAGTGCCATCTATAGAGGGGAGTATGGGCCGCGAACCTACTCTCGACTATCCGCAAAACGTTGTCGCTATGGGAAGTTGTTTTCGTTTTCGCAACGAAGTCATTGTAGATGCTCAGAGCCGTACGCGGCTCGATATTGAGTACGCTTTGTTGCTTGCATATGGTGTAGAAGCCCAGTCGAGCGCGAGTATCAACTTCAACACGTGCTTTTGGATCCAATTTTCGGTTGATGGAATAATTCTGGGTTCGCATGCCCGTTGCAAGCCAATGCGAGGCCATCGGATATCTCGTAGCATTGTAGCGGATGGCTAGAGTTGTTTGACGCGATCGGCACGACAAACATGGCTCTAGACGCGCGATTGCGCTTGCTGAGCGTAATACTGCGCGAGGAGTCGACATAGTTACGAGATGACTGCTCGACAGTTGGTGAACGGCGATGCGGTAATCCTTGGAATTCACCAGGCCCGCTAGTCTCGGGGGTCCGCAATGGCCGCGAAATCTTGGCACGCCAGAATCTTTTCCACATCGCGCGATCCACCAACGCAGCAACGACAAGAACAGTCGCGGTTCGCACACGACGCGTATCAACCCACAGCAACGAAGACGCAATGGTCACTACACGAGGCGGAACAGAGACGCCAGGCGCACCGACACCGACGCCGCGCAGCTCGACAAGGAAAGCCGCAGGAAAGCGAGAACTCGAGTCGCTAGAGACGCCGACACAAACGAAAAGGCAGAGGAAGTCTGCGCCCGCGTCGTCCTCCAAGAAGAGATCTGCCAAGCAGTCGGCCGATTCGGATGCGCCTTCACAAGGACTTTCGCAAGAGTCCGTAGAGGATGTCTCAGACACAATTGCTGTCGCCGCCGCGCCTGCGACCCAAGACCCTCAGACGCCGACACAGGATGAATTTCTGCCACTCCGACGCCGATCGAGTCCCCACGTTGTAGTCAGCAGGAAGTCGCCGGATGATTCGACGGCCACGGACAGCTTCGGTGAAGGCAGGGAAGAGGCGCCAGCAACTTCACAAAATCCGTCCTTTTACACACCAGCGCAGCAGCCTGGTTCAGGTTCAGGCTCAGTATACGCGACGCCCGCCACAACATTTAAGCAACCTGAGGGATCACCTACACCCAAGGCTAAGACTGGAGATGGCCAGACGCTGGCACCAGGCTCAGCGAAGAGAGGCAGAGGCCGCCCGAAGAAGGTTGTAGAGACGCCGTCCAAGTTCCCCGACGAGATTCCAACGTCCTCGTACGAGAGCAGCACAGCTCCTATACCCTCGCAAGGCGACGCGCCTCCTTCAGCACAACCTGAAAAGACGCATAGACGCTTTGGTAGCGAGGAGCCTGCCGAGTCGCAAGATTCGCCCGTTGCGATCAAGCAAGGCCACAAGCGATATGAAGCTTCTCAGCCCATCGAGTCACTACCCCCAACGCAAACAAGCCAAGTCGACCAGGACGAAGCAAGCGATTCGGACGACGAAGCCCCCGAGGTAGTCACCACAGCCGCTGCAGGTTCGAAAGCACGAGCTGCGCAAGCCGAAGCCGACCGCGCGCAGAAGGCTCAGCAAGCAAAGGAGCAGGCCAAGCGGCAAGCGCGCGAGGAACTCGTTGCTGCTCAACAAGCTGCAAAGCGCGAGCGTGAGGAAAAGAAGGCAAAGAAGTTGGCGAAGAAAGCTGCCAAGGAAGCAAAGGCTGCCGCCGGCCCCCTCGAGAAAGAGCCGGAAGTTGCGTCGCGCATGGACATCGACGTATCAAACGGTCTCCTGCCCGCTTCCCTCCTCGAGACCATCGACGACCAGCGCCCTCCCACGCCACCGCCCCAGCGCCGCGGAAAGACAGAGGAGGAACTTAGGAAGGAGAAGCTCAACCACCATATCAAGTTCCTGGAGCGCGTCGACAAGCCAGCGAAGGATGTGAAAAAGGGCAAGCTCAGCGTAGCGGTATTGGCACAGCAGAACCGGGTGCTGCCGCCCAAGGTCAACAGGAATACGAAGAACGTACGTGAACACTGGTTGAAGGGGCGCGAAATGGACAAGAAGGCAGGGAAACCCGGCGTTAGGTTCGGGAAGAAGATGGAGAGGAGGCCGCATGGTAACCGGGGTTTCTTGAGGAACGGAGAGTAGATAATAGCACAGTGCCAGTCGAACTTGTGCAGTATGATGCGAATGATATCCATTGTCATCTTGATATTTATGCTTCTGATGATAAGTTTTGCCGCCCATCGTGTTGTCCACTTTCATACCTGCTATGCCACCTACCGCCGTCCAGGTCTCTTTGGCTTCGCAAATCCCTTGCTCTCCTCCTTCTTCTCCACCTTAAACTCGTCCAGGATAACCTGCTCAGTAATCTCATCTGGGTCCGTCGCCTCAATCTTCTTCTCCACCTTGAGCCCACCATCGTTCTGCGCCAGACTGACCACATTGCCCCTACTCGCTGCATACAGCATCCTCTCCCTGATCTTCGCTCCGCTCGGACACGTCGAGATGAACACGATACTCGCAGCAGCGTCATCGTGACGGTAGAACGAGTACCGCGGCTCCTTAGCATCGATAGCCTGGGAGAGAGTCGAAGGCGTCGCTGACGAAGAAGACACAAGCTGAAGCGTCTCCGACGCGCCGTCCATGCGCAACTGCACGAGGTTATCCGTTCCACCCTGTCCCAACTTCTTCAACGCGCCGCCAATCTCATCATCAGCCCGAATAGCGATCCTGCCTCCTTGGGCCAAACCCTGGCCGCGTGTGCCTCTGCTCTCCAGGGCCTCGGCAGCCTTGATATCCTGCAGCGATTGTTCCTCCGCTGTCAGCGGGTTGTCAGACGCTGTATGCGCAATGTGTTTTTCCCAGCCTTCCGGCGTGAGCTCTGATGCTTCGGTCGTGAAGACACTCTCGCTGAAATGCTCTCCGCCTAGTTCACGCACGAGAGTGAGGCGCGTGGATGCGAAGAGCATTTTCTGGCGTACCGGCGCGGCATTGGGTACGTATGTTACGGCTACGAGAGATTTGTCGGGCGAGGAGAGCGAGTCGGCGCGGCGAAGGAGAAGGTAGAGTGCGGCATTGGGCTGGATGCGGGACTGGAGATTGGAGAGGTCGGCGAGGAAAGTCGATGCTGACGAGGATATGGTGTCGCTGGGGATGATGGTCTCGTTTTGGATTGTGGCTAGGATTCCGCGTTGCGAGCTTGAGGTTATGAGGCTGCCGACGGCGGATTTGAGCTCCTGGGAAGCTATGGGCGTTGTTAGTGGGGTGCGAGGTTGGAGCGCGCTGGAAGATCGTTACCGGAGATACCAGACTGCATCTTGGCAAGTCTCTACTACAGTGTTTTCTGTGGTTGTCGAGACACTCAAAGAAGAGGCTGCAATGTTGTTGAATGCACTGATTTCAACGTGTACACTGACGTCGAACCAGCGGTGATGCTGTACTATAGTGGGGCAGGTGGGCTGGACGGCCGATGCACCTTGGCAGCCCTGCTTCCATCATGCAGTCTGGTCCCTGAGTGGCGTTTCTGAAGTTCATTTGTTGTTGTATTTCACATGAATTACAGGCTTCAACATACTTGGAAATCAACGTATGCTTATCGAAGGGCGCTCTTCAACGGACTGTGAAACACAATGCAAGCTCACTCCTCATATGCCCCACCAGGCAGCATCTCTCTGCCTTTCTCCAACACACCCTTCAGATATTCGTACACGGTAAATGTGACAGCTTGACCGGGGGCTACTCGCATCACACGCGGTGTGATACCCTTGTAGAAACTGCGGATACCTTCTTGCTTCCACATGTCGCTGTGAATTGTCAGCTAACACTCGGAAGTTGGTTGCGCTCGAGAACTTACTTTCCGATGTTTACTATCCTCTGAATAGCAGTTTGACCTGCCTCCGCAGGCGTCTTCTGCAACCTCGTCTTAATGGTGTCGATCGGCGCGTTCGTAAACGGACCAACAGCACCACTGATCAGACCGATCAGACTCGTCTCGTAGCCAGGCAGATCTGTTGTGCCATGGTACTTCTGTAACTGCGCCCTGAGTTCCGAATATGCAGTGAAGTTTGCCGCTTGGTTTGTTCCCTGGCGCAAGGCTGTGAGCGAGACACCACGCCATAATGCGCCTGCACCTTCTTCCTTGATGACAGTATACATGGCATGCGCGGCGTTTCGGTACTTGGGTATATCGAGCGGATCGGCCATCGAGTGGTGCTGCGCTTGAAGACGGATCTTGACGACCTCCATAGGTGTGACGACGAGAACGGCCTCCGTGACACCAGCGGCAAGACCAGCTGTAAAGTGTTAGTATTCGGTCATTCTTGAGTAGACTCTGTTCCGAAAAGATGCGCCTTGCGATTCCGCGAGCTTCAAACTTACCCATAAATGTAGACTTTGACGCGACATTGCCCTCTTTGTCCGCTAACATCTGCTTATACCACTCATAACTTGTGAAGCGTATGGCCATCTTCGGGACGATGCCTGTGAGAACGGCGCCTAATCCCTTATATAGGCCTAATGCTGTCTCTCTCTTCACGATCTCAGTTCCGGTCGTAATGAACCCGCGCTTCTTTGCCTGTAATGTACACCAATCAGTGACGTTCTGGATAGTATATGCCGACCGCTTCGAAAGTATGATTGGGGACGTACTCCTGGAGCGCGAGCTCGTCTTGACAGTTGCATGCGGACTTTGATCGTATCTGATATCCAATTAGACTTGATGCGCAGATAACGTAGGCTTGGGGACTTGTAACTCACCGAGAGGATGACACGCGAGTGCCTCCATCATTCCAGCACCACCACCGGCTTCATGTCGCGTCAGTATCCTGCCATCGCGGTTGCATACCCTCCAAATTCCCAATTTGAGGCTTACCGATCAAGTTTGTGGCCGCCGACGCGGGCTTCTTGCCGCCAGGCCCTTGTACTGATTTCGCAGACATGTTGTGTAGAGTTGGAGCGCAAGTGTCCAGGAAGGTGTTTGCTGCGACGAATTGGGACCAAAGGGCGTCCAAGGCACGAGCACGTGGGGTTACACGAGATTGTGACACTGAAGGAGCGATCCTGAGCTGTAGCCCAACTTTCTGAACGAGAGCTGTGATGCGCTTTAGAAACCTCGGCTTCTAGAGATGACGACAGAGGGAGAGCAAGCAAGCTAATCAATAGCAACAGCTATGCGACGGGTATCAAGAAGGAGACTCGAAATGAGGTTTAGGAAAGCGAGAAAAGCACGAGCGCAAGGAAATCATTCAGTCATATTCCATACATTGCTGATCAGAAGCCTGCCTTGACTACCCGCGGGTGTGAGGACAAACACCCATTTGCTCCGCCAGCCTCGGCCCTTGCGTGAGCCCAGACCGCGTGTCTTAGTGTCGACTGGCACGCGTTTGTCTGGCAGCTGGCAAACAATGGGGTACCTTGGCAAACCCCGGATTTCGCCATGGGTGGGCGAGCGGAAGTTACGATGCGCTGATGTCGTTCGGCCGGCGATCGGCTCGAGGAATTACGTTGCCGAGCCACAGTTGCCCAGCTGCCCAAGCCATTGGCCGTTCATCATGGCCTGCTTGGGATGATAGCACATGCAATCCTGGTTTTATGCCTGAATTCGAGTTTCGCGTGTTTCCGGGTTCGCGCTTTCACAAGCTCGTGTAGGCGAGCGTCTGATGATGGATGAGGGGTGGAATGATCGACATGTGAAAGTGTGGGAGATGACGTTGGAGGGGCTGTCGGAAACTCTCCGCTGCAGAGCCCATCCCGAAAGCGGCCGACGTGCACGTGCGCGAAGATGCCTCGGAAGATGCCCAGGCAATCCTGACTGTCCTACAAGATGTTCCTCGGGACGTATTGAAGGAGAGATAAAAATGGGTATATTCTTACTACATCAAACGCTTCCCTCGGCAAACCTACAATCAGATGAATCTGACCTCATTGAACAGACTTGACCTGACCTGCATCAACGCAACCAGCTCCAACACAAAGTTCTGCAGTATGACCACGTTTGTAATGATGTGTAGTAAGCTCGCCTCTCGAATATCATCGTCTTCTGAATCCTCAGCACCTGTCGCCGCGTCATCAGAAGGTTCCTTTGGCGGTGGTTGGAACTTCGATAGCATGACCTCCACCTCCTTTGATCCAGCCGGCCGGCGGAAGCGAATACGCCTCTTGCCGAACTGACTCATCCTGATCTGTGATATGCTAGCGTCGACGTCGGACATCAAAGAAGGCTGCTGTACGGCGTACGTTCCTGACATAGGGGACGATGCTCGGGCAGGTGAACCAACGAGTGTCTGGCCTCCATATCTTGATGGTGCGGGTGATGTAGTGGGTGTGTTCCTTGCCTCAGAAAGAGTTTCCTTCCTGCCTCTCGGAGATTGCGCTCTGGAGGGCGTCGTCGGTTGGTTACGTACGTGTTGTGGTATTTGCGGCGTCCAAGATCCAACTGGAGTTTCCGAGGGAGGTCGCGCAGGCTTTGACTGAGGCGTCGACATTTTTGACTCCTCTACGAGATCCTGATGGAAGCGGAAGGCATGCTTACGGTTCGCGACGTGCTCGTCCCAGTCCTTGATATCGCTGCGCAGGGCATCGACTTGCGTCTGGAGACGTTGCAGGCATGCAAACAGTTGAGGAGCAGCAGAGGACTCCCATTTCGGAAACCTTTCTGCCAGGAACATGGCGCGCAAGTTTTCATTCGTGAACGACTCGACTTCAGGACTGTCGCTTTCGAAGTGGTAGTCGGCAGGGTCCACGGATAACCATCCTTCCAGACGCAGTTGTGAGCAGGTGCCGAGCGTAATCAATGCCTCAGTAAGCGCCAGATTTGTCTCGACATCGTTCGTAAGGAACCTCAGAAGTAAATCCATAAGAGACTGGAAGAGCGGATCTTCTGGAAGCAACTGATGTGGATCCACCTCCCTAGCTGAAGCTTCAGTCGAGTCGAAGTATCCTGGACTCTTCGAAGACGTTGCGGGTAAAGCGATGGTCTTCAAAGAGCAGGGATGTGACTCCAACAAACTCAGAGTATCTTTTAGATAGTTCTCGTACGCTTCATCAACACCTTCCAAGCCGGCGAGATCGATGGCGAGGTTTAGGTACAGCTCAAGCTCCTTGTTCAGGGATCCAACAGTTCTATTGTGTTCTTTATGATGCAAGTTCATCACCTTGACGAGAGATCCGAGAGCGTATCCATGGCTTTTGCTCAGTATCACAGTCGTCAACTTCAATGATGCAATGACCGTCTGTGGATTGCGCGATGCGGTGCTTCCCAAGACCAAGTCGACCAGATTGAACAAAGATGGGTTCAATTTGTCTTCATCCTTATCCGATGCAGTAAGCAGCATAAGTGACTGACGGCGCTTGACAGCTGCGGGGGACCGTGGTGTCGTGGTAGACGCGTAGTCCAGGAGTGCGAGTAGATACTGAAGCATCATGTGCACGAGCTCGGGGTGGTCAAGCGCATCTAGTATATGGCGAAGGTACGTAAGTACTGCGACGGATGAACCGCCATCGGCGTCGGACGACTCAAGTAGTGAAGGGTATCTGCACGGAGTCAGCTATGTACATATTGGAGACATACAAGAGTAACACACAATAGCTGCTGGAGGAACAAAGCTTGAAAGTGGTCAATCAATGTAACTCTAACATCCAGAGATCTGCAATGCTCGAGCACATCTTGCCAGAACGCAAGGTAAGACAAGAAGGTGAGAAGATGGCTCTGAAAGTCGGGTGTGAAGAAGTTCTCTGCTTGTGGATTGGGCTGCATCTCGGTGTAGTCGGAGAGTAGTAAGACAGGAGGCAGGTCATGCGCGGGGTGGAGTATTGATAGCTTTCTGGACAATGTTAGCTTCGTTGTCTCGGGTTCGGTGCGCTTCATACCTGCTCATCTGGCTGTAAAGTGCTCCCAAGCCAGTCGCCATGAGCGTAGGCAGATCACTATTGACGATCCACTGTTCCAGATCCATGGACCTGGACGCAGACTCGAATATGTACAGCAATCCGGTGCGCGCAAAATCCCCGATACGGCCTTCGTGGTGGACATGGTCGATGAGCTGATAGCACAAAGGGAAGTCCTCTTTCTGTGTGACGCCGGCGAAATCGGTTTTGGGGTTCAGCACTCGTCCCTCGCTGTTTGCGGATGTGGTCGTGAACCAGACATGCAGAATCTCTGGCTGTAGCCTGATCTTGGCTGCGATGCCGAAGAGCAGCTCCACGATGTCAGCCTCGATGTCCTCTCCTATGCCCATGCTGCCAGACCCGACTGTGCGGTCGATGAAGTTCATGAGCGAGGCGGCGAAGACGTCGTTCTCGAGGAAGTCCTCTTCCTCGCTGTCGATGAGGGCATTGTAGAAGGCCACGGCGTCCCTAACGGTACCCTCATCGTGTGCCGTCGCCGCGATCTTGGAGACGGCCGTATATATCTGCTGGGCGGCGGCGAACTGCAGGCACATGTGCGGCGCGGGGGATCGCGACTCGTCGCTGAGGATGGCTGTGAGGGCCTGGAAGCCGCGCCGGATGTTGCCCAGGGCTTCGCGGTCGTGGGCGAGGTTGGTCGACTTCTGCCATGTTTGCTGCCATGTGTCAGACTCGCAGCATTCCGGGTGACTCAGCCAGGCCTACCAGTATCTGATTGTAGCGCTGGCGGAAGCGTGCCAGCCGCTGTTGGGGGTTGTTCGGGGCGGCCTGCTTCTTCTTCTGGGACGACCCGCCGAGTAGCCTCACCCACTTGCTGTCGTCAGTGCGCGATCCATAGCTGCAGCAGGGCGAAGACGTACGAAATCCATTTGATGTCCTACTCACCCCGCATTTGCGCCGTGTACGTGGGGTCCAAGGGTGGAAAGGAGTGATGTCGACGCGGAGCGCGCCGTCGTGGAGCGAGCTCGAAACCAATCGCGTTGCATCCTTCTCCGCAGGCAGTCACCATTCACAACACACGACCTTGGAAAGAGTCTTGGGAAAGCACATTTGACATCAAGTATTATTAACATTACCAAGATTCTACAACTGCAAAGAACACACGGAAACATCGCAAGCTATGAAAATAGGAAGATTCGCTATGCAAACAGTCAAACTCAGATCGCAGCCTCCTCCTTCGTCCACTTGACCTCCTTCTTGACCTTGTCCCCATTCAGCGTCGGCAGCCCACTCATACCCAACATGTAATCCCTCCCCTTCAGAATCCACACGAAGAATGAAGGTACCTTCCATCCAAATACGGCACCAACGCCGCCTCCGCTACCGATGGGGACAACCATAGACTCCGTCGTGTTAGCCGTGTACACTCTGTCCTTGCCCTTGGGTTTCGCCTCTGGAAGCATGGGGTTGTAAGAGAACAGGTCGCGCTTGATGTTGGTGACTAGGGTAGGTAGAGCCAGGTTAATGTCCCAGTAGTTGTTGCGCGAATATGATGCGATGTCGCCGAAGCCGTAGACGCGGGGGCCTGCGATGTCGACGCGAAGGGTGGAATCGTTCGTTACGAGGTAGCCCTTCTCATTGAGCAATTGATCTGGCAGCCACGACGAGTTTGGTTGAACGCCGTAAGCGGGAACGTAGAGGTCTGCCTCAAGCTTGCCACCGTCCTTGAGGGTCAGCGCCGTGCGACCATCTTTTGTCTGCGCTGAATCGACCACTCGCGTGTTGTAGATGACCTCTACACCGAGCGCTTTGAGTTTCTGCTCTGCAATCTTGGCGATAGCAGGGCGGAGTCCGGGGAGAAGTTGCTTGTCCGATGTGATCAGCGTAACGTCAACTTTTGGCTGCACCTTGCTGAACCATCCTGGCTTGCCGTTGCGATGCTCAGCAACTTCGCCCGCGAATTCCACGCCTGTTGCACCTCCGCCAACGATAACAATCTTCTTTGCCGATGCGATTTGCTCGTTTGCCGAGCTGATCGCGTTCAGGGTACTTTGAGCATCGGCGCTCATCGAGAAAGCTTGGAAATAAGTCTTGC